AGCCATGGTTATTAAGGCATCACAGCAGAAAATCATCTCTATTAACAATCCTCTTTACCTCAGCTGCGTCATAACGCTTGACTAAGCAGATTCATCCTTGTAACTACACAGCTCCAACCACAAACCACTAGTTTTTTGGTAATTATTACTCCTATGTCTCCCACTGTGCCTGAACCATGGTGGTGACTTCAGGGGTAATCGGAGTGATCTGTGATGCACAGAATGTGGTGTGAGCAGGATGCAGGATATCGTAGCCTCCAAGAGATTTTTTTAGAGCTTAGAGAGCAAACATACAGAGCAGATCACTTATATCTTTAACACAGTAGGTGGAGGGAGAAGTAGGTGGTCAGAGTGCTCGTTTGTGACCTCTAAACTAAAGTCTATGTGCTTGCAAGGTCATGCCAAGTGCAATCAAAACCCTTATGTTCTTTCTGATTCTGTATTTGAGATTCTCTCCTCTTTTGTTTTTTGCCTGAGGTGAGCGAGTGGCTGTGTGGTGTGTAGTTGCTGACTGGGGTTAAACCATGACAGTCGGCTTAGCTGAGTCATGCTGTTACTCACTCTGGGACTCTTTCTGTACTTTGACACACAGGAAGGTCATGTGGATTATTCCAGTGGCATCTGGTAGTCACGTGTTGCCACAGCCAACTACTTCAGTATTAGAAGAAGTCAGAAATAACCCAAACCCAAACGCAGCCCCAGTGAATAGCAGTGTAGGTAGGTCTTGGTGGCATGCATATTTAAACTGCATTAACTCTGATAGTGATAGGAGCTGCAGGAAAGGCTGTATTTCCTAATCATTAAACTCCTTCTCCTGGTCAGAAATAGCAGCACGACTTGAAAATAGTTAGTTTTATTAAATTTTATTTCTAAACCTAAGGACACTCCCATTTGTTGGCAGCACCAACGTCAAAGACAGTGCAGAGATGCACTTTTCAATAGGTAGCACAGAACTGGGTTATATTTCAGGGAAGGGTGTTGGTACTAGTGAAGGTAAACCCCAGCAGTGTTTGATCATCTCCAGTTTTCTGCGGGTTGTGCAGTAAGAGAGGTTTGCTGTTCATGCCTGTCCCCATACCATGTGTCGAAGATCATTCACAATCTAGAGATGTGGGAGGTATTTTGGCTTTAATATAGCTTGTCAGTTTCAAATATAATTTTTTTTTTGCATGCCATCACTTTTTCAGAGAGCTGCTTTTTTTGTACACAGAAGATATTTTTCTTGGACCTAGGTGAGGCAGAATGGACAGGTTTTTATCTCAGCATCAAATAAATGAGGAATTCAGGCCTGCAATGTATAGCTCTCATGTTTCTTCTCCGAGGCAGGCTATCGTTTCTCATCTGACTCTGGCTTCCGTCTTACTAAGATGAGAAATATTGTCTAAAAATGAAATCAAGTGAAGATGCTGGGCAGTACATTTGGAGATGGAGAAGGCCTCTGGAGTTTTCTTAAAAGCTCAACCTGACTGTGAGTCAGCTATTGGCAATAGCTAATTGCCATTGACAACCCATGTTTTTCACTCCCACCAAAGATGTTTTGTCTAAAATTTTCAGATTTCAGGTGTGAAACCAACAGCAGATCTTATAGAAGCCAGAGTAGGTGACTGAGGGTAATTATCACACTCATTTTGCCTTTGACAAGTAATTCAGTGACCCCATTTCATGGTGATAAAACCACACTTTAAGGTGCTTTAAGAAATTAGACTTCAAATTGAGCTCAGTGCATATTCAGAAAAGGGCAGCTCTAGCTTCTTGTCAGCACAGGTGATGGCCTCATCTTCCATTCCCGAAAATGGTTTTGCATTACTAGAATATCAGTCATAGCCAGTTGCAGTGCTGATCTGTAATTGTAGTGTGGCTCAGTGCATTCAAAAAATGAAATGAAACTTTCTGGAAAGTGCCTAGTTTGGCAAATAAGCAAGTGTGGAAACAGTTTATGCACCAGTTTGCTCACGTTGATGAAAAGGTCCCAGCAAAGAAGAGTTGGAAAGGATGTGAGCTCAGCTGCCTCAGATACACAAAAATTCTCATCTGCTGAGTTCTTGTTGTCTTTATTACAGAATAAAGGTACAGGAAATAGGAATTTTGAACACAAATAGCTACTTCCAAACACCATTGCATGAACAGATTACTTGCTGATAATTGAGAGGGAACACTAAGTGACACAGCACAAAGTTCCCGGAGTTAAGTATTTCTTAAGCTGTTTCATACTGCCAGAAATTGCTTTGGAAATCACCTGATTTCCCAGGTTTTCCACACCTACAACAGGGAGCTGAATGTACTTGGAGCCTGCTTCATACCACACAGAAGACTAGTTTTTACTAGTTAGCCTAACTGAGTAAATAGATTTATAGAGCAATTGTCTGCTTTTTACCTGCAGCACTTTGTGGTTTATACAGATTGAAAAATAGTTCATCATACAAAATTGGGTCTTGGAGTAGTGCAGAAATGATTTGATGAACAGAATGAGTTTCTATTCATTATCCCACTTTAACGTCTAGAAATGGTCACTTTTTCCTCGCCATCACCGCGTGTGTGGTGGAAGCAAACAGTGACAAAAGAGCGTCCTCCTGTGCAGCAGAGAACAGAAGGGCTGAAAAGGACTTAGAGACATGGCCATATTAAATTACAGAGCCAACAGAATTTGCCTATTTGCCATAAGAGAAGGGATTTGACCCTCATACTAAATCTATATTACTATGAAAGGACTTTATTTTCCCATGAAAATGTGTATTTGTTGGTCTGCTTTTTGGAGCCATTAGCTTGACATTCAGGAAGTTTAGAGGCGTAAGGAGGATATGATGCCTAGAAAAAATTGAATGCAGTTTTAAATGGGTTTGCACTGTAATGCCACTGTACACGACCCTCATGCACCTGAAAAATGTTTTGTGACTTCATGTAAATATCTTGTATGCCATCTGAGGGACCCTTTCCCACAGTTTGTTTGGCTCTGCACTTCATTAGAGAAATCTTCACCAAAAACTCTTAATCCTGGCAGCTTTCCTAGTAGAATCAATCTTTTGAGGATCTGGGTGATCAGTAATGACAAAACCAGCCTTGGCATTAGTATTTCACTTGATAAATTGCAGAGATCTATGCTTCACTTGCATTTGTCAACAGTGACTTCCCAGTGAAGTGCAAGGTATTTGAAAAATTGCCTCTAATGTAGCAGACTAGGGAGGGAAGTACTTTTTCAAACTATGAGAACATTTCCCTCATGGTCCATTAAACCAACTGGGGAGAAAGGAAAGCAGGACAGGGGTGGGAGTACACTGGAGTCTCTGTAGGTAGGCTTGAATAGCCCCATGCCAAATGTTTTAAGTTTTTTTCCTGTGAGCCATACCATATAATGAGAGTGTTTTTGTTAATGATACGGTGAGCCACAGAAGGCTAAGAATCTCTTTTCTTTAAAACTGCCCTTTCTTGGTTGCTGTGTCTGGGACTGTCCTAGTTCTCATCTTGTTCCTTAATTGTGTCAGTGCGTTGGTGGATCCTGCCCATCTTCTCTCATGTCCTCAGTGGTGTGTCTACAGGAGCTCCTGCTGGTCCCCATTCCCTCTCCCTCCCCGTCTTCCCTTTTCTCCTGCAGACAGACACCATTTATCTGGTGGGTTACTCAGCTCTATCTTGCCTCTGCACTTTTCTTTCTGTCCAACCTAAAATTCAATCTGGGGCTCCAACGTTTTGCAGTGGGGTGACTGGCAACTTGGAGTAAACACAGTTATTCGTCATCCTTGAGGTCCTCACTGCTGCTCCTTTCTTTGGGAGAACATTTGCCCCCTCTGTCACTGCTGCTGGCGGGCTAAACACAGGTGTTGTCTGAGGAGGATGCCATTCCACAGTAGGCACTTCCAGCAGGTCTGTCTGTTTCTAGCATTGCCTTTTGTCCGTTGCAGTTAGGACATGTGAATGCAACCCCAAAACCCATGGTTAACATGGATGGAGAATGAAGTGAAAAGTGGCGTGTGCGATCTCTGCTGGCTCTTTAGCGGGCAGATCAGGCAAAATGTTGTCACCGCTAAATGGTGGTTTTGGTTTTCTTGGAATACTGGGTGTAGACTGGAAGATGTAATGTGGAATTTAAATGTCAGGGTTAGACAGGAAGAGTTCAAACGCGGCCTGCACTGCTCTCGCTGTTAGATCAAAGGCCCCTGCAGCTCACAGAAGTGGGACGCTGTGCTAAGCAGGATTTTTTTTTTTAACCCTTTTACAAGGTTTTATCTTCATGGCATTTACATTAAAAATAAAAAACAGAGTGAAAACAAAACAAAAACTGTCACTGAATTACTGATCAAAATAAACCTCTTTCTGAAAGGCGACTAGACTTAGGAATGAATAGGAGAACCGGTGAGATGTTCCCCTGGGCCGGACGAGCCCTTCTGCAGTGCTCCCAGATTTTGCAGTGGAGTGGGATGTGCCTTTCCCACTACTCTTGTCAACATCTGCTCCACATCTTCTGTGACTGTTCCAATTGTCCCCTCCATTTTGGCCCTCAGACATGTTGTCTCTCAGAAATTATCAGCCTCCCACATCAGGATGAGCCCATCTCCTCTGTGACTTGTGTCTTGTTACAATGTCACGTGAAAGGGAGGGCAGGCATTCCGCGGATTTCTGGCAGTTGCTGCTGTGTGATCCACGTAGGGTGTAAGGTAAAAATGTTCATGCATGTTATTCCGTACCTTATTTCAGAGAATGACAGGATTTCAACAAATTTGGAGATCTTTGCCTGTCACAGACTATGCTAGACCCTGATGTGTTTAGTCTTAGTGACTTACCGGTACAAAAGTTTGCTTCACATTCCAACTGCTAATGGCAAAAAACCACTGTTGTCCATCTAAACCCCAACATAAAAAATTCCTGAGGTAAGGTCAACAGGGCACACAAAGAGGGCTGTTGACTATGGGATGGAGGACAAACTGGTCCAAGAAAATAAAAATTAATTGTCTGAGGGTATGGAATCATGTGCTGAGCTACAGCAATATCTTTGTTTCTAACTCTAGGTCCTTCTTCAGTTATCAGCAATGATGATGATTCAGCCAGTCCTCTCCACCACATCTCAAATGGCAGTAACACTCCGTCTTCTTCTGAAGGGGGTCCTGATGCAGTCATCATTGGGATGACGAAGATTCCTGTCATTGAAAATCCCCAGTATTTTGGAATTACCAACAGTCAGCTCAAGCCAGACACCTGTAAGTACAAACAACTGTATGTGTTTCAGTCATTCATTTTACCTGTGCAAGTGCTGGGGCTCCTTAACAGAGCTAGCAGAACAAAATGCTCTAAATTCCTGAGAGTGGAAGGGTGGGGTTAAAACGTATGCACTTTCTTAAACGTACATGGGATGAACCGCTTTACGTCTGTCAAAGCCAAATTCAGCCCTTGTAATGAGTCCATGAAGTTGCAGTGTTGCACTCAAAGTCTGATCCATATTCCATCAAAGTCACCGGTAGCCTTTCCATTGATTTCAGTGGTCTTTGGCCGGTCCTGTACACTGAATGTTTTCTTGGGAGAAAACAAAACCTGGGTCAGAAGCAGAAGTCAATATTGTTACATACGTGCTGCTTTTAAATTGATCGTATTGGCAATGAACATAACCTAATTTTGAAATCTGAGTATTTGTAAAGTTGTAAACAATTAAAATTTCAATTATATTAATTTCATTGTATAATTCAACCTCTACAGCTGGAAAAGATGTTGAATATTTACAAGTAGAGAAGAAGGTTGCATGATGGACAATAAAGGTCACATACAAATTCTTTCATGTTCAGTTAGAAGCAGGTAAAATGTGAAAAAAATACAAAGAGTTAAACATAATTAACTGTGAATAGTTAAAAAAGAGTATCCCTACCTTCAGCTGCTACTCTTCAAACCTAGTAAAAGTTTTAAAATTGGACACATGAAATGTTGATTTTGAACCAGTGATTAGTGTTGTAGTAGATAACTGAAAAAGTACTTAAAGGATGTTGTGACGAATGGTAACTGCATTGCTTACTATTTTTCATTGGTACATAAAGGTCTTTAAGTGTTTCAGAGAAGGTTTTTCCTGCCTCTTTTTTCCTCTTCTTCTTTCTTTTTTTTTTTTGGTGTCTGTTTGAATGGACATACATTTCTGAAGTGTCACTGTAAGTCTCAACTGTTTCTCTGCAAGTCACTCCAGAGATCCCCAGTATAGCTAGTGAGCATTGAGCTTGCAACTAAGGGATGCTACATCCTATCTGTATCCTTCTCAAAATGAAATCACTTCGTAACACAAACTGTAGACTAGGGTCTTACTGCCAAGGTCAGAATTTTTGCCTCCACATTTGCAAAGCTTAAATGCTGTAATAGGAATCTTTGTTGACCTGTGTATGAGGGCATGCATGCATATGCATACACATGACTTCTAAGGTGATGGACTACCTAAGTATCTTGTGCATACTAATGCTCATCTACATCTAGATCATTGCACTAAGCACAATCCACAGAAGGATGGTCCTGCAATGCAACAGAAGGACTTTTTCTGCCTTTTAGTTGTACATTCCTGATGTTTTGTCTTACCATAGGGTTTTTTGGTTTGCTTATTTTTTTTGGTGTGGCACTATTTTTTGATTAGAAATGCCCCATTATCTCTTCTGCCAGAGGATATTTGAATAACGTGGCCTAGCATATGCAGTAAGGTGATCACTGAATTGCTGATATTTGATCAGCAACAAGGAAAATGTTATACACATGCATTCTGGTTAGAACGTTAATTCCGGTGAAGAATAGAAGCTGCTAGGGAATCAGAAATGGGCAACGTGCCCACTACAGCTCCCTAATGTTATATAAAAAGCCATGCTTTTAAATATAAGGCTACTGTACCTCTGTTCCCAGCTGCATTAGATGACATTATAATTGTTTAAATAAACATCAGTGACTGCACAGTATTCAACTTGCAGCATTTATGTTGAAACAACATACATGCTGTTCTGGGGAAAAACCCAAACTGTACCAAAACACAGAATTCTCTCACATTTAGTAAGCTGCACATCAAGTGCAGACACATAAAATCACAGCTGACTAGTGCTAAGTAGGTCCTGATCCTAAAAATACGTAAGTCTGTGTTTGGTTTTGTGTACTGCAATGAAACCCACATGGTGTCAGGGAAATTAATCACAGTACATGAAGTTCAGTTTGTGCATAAATGCTTGCAGGATGCGGCTCAAGACTTTGCTTTGGTGCTCTGGGGAGGTTTGTGGGGCTGATGCTCTGCATTCTGGTGGTTCCAGTCTTTGTGTTTTTATTGCTTTAGCGAAGAGAATCAGGTAAACTGTAGCAGTGCATAAACCAAGGCAAATTTCTCCTACCACACTGAGCATCTGTCCAATAAAGAGCATAATTAAAACTGTCTTGGACAAAAATGGTATTCCCAAAAATAATTTCACATACACTCTCTTTCCGTCTCTCTCACCCGCTTATTATTACAGAGCTGCACTTGCCCTTTCTTAACCTGCCAACCTCCTCCTGATGTGTATATCTGGTATTTATAAACCTCTAAGCTAAGTAGCTCTCATACCTTTTTCCTGTTTACAATAATGGCAGCTCCAGATATCATCTGTTTTTTCATCTCCAGCAAGATAATTAACATTTATGTTTATTTTCTATCTGGTCTTAAGTTCCATTGTCTGCTACCATTAAACACAGCAATCGCTGGCAGTCGTGCTGAAAAGATCCTTATGGTTTTAGCATATGTTGGTCTGTGGAAGAAGGTGAGGCTTCAGGCTAGGTGAAATGCATGCAGGTCGTACTGCAGTTTTCACAGAGTTGAAGGAGTGCGTCAGCTGTGAGTAGCAAGTGGAGATTCTTTTTTTATCTACTTAAGCCATATTTTGACTGGTCTACAGATAACCATTTCTGAATACAGTATGTCAGGTTCCACTGCAAAATATTAGAAATGCATATGTTTAAAAGAAAATTTAAAAATTTAAATTCCATCACTGTCTCAGTAAATTGGTAGTTTCACTACTGAATAACTAAATCCCAAAGAGTGATGGCTTCTAAAGAGGCAGTCTCAAGCTAAAAGTTATAGTGCTTCCCTCCTCTTGAGAGACAGTTTTCAAGGTGAGTAAAGCAAACTGCCGATGACCAAAGGCCCATCAACTTGAGGGGTTGGGTTCCAGTCACCGCACAGAAGGACTGAATTTCTGTTGCAGGTTTCAACACAAATGCTCATCTGTACCTTTAATTGACATAACGCTAGAAAATTACTCTTGCAACTTGGATTGGCTGATATTTCCCACTCCAGCTGCTCATCATAACTACTCTTGCCAGCAAACCCACTTGTCTGTCTGACACACTGTCCCAGAACTCCTGGCTTTTCCTTTCCCTGCCATGTACCCTTGGTAGCTGCTGGGTGGTGGGCTCTTCTGCAACTCCAATAGCTTGAATATTTCCACCTTGAAAGTTTACAGTCTGTGGTGCACAGACATGTTTCAGACACACACCAGACTTCTTGGTTCCTTTTTGTGTGTAATCAGAAGGCAGTTACTTTTTATGCCATACTTAGCTAAAAGCAACAAATTGGACTTCAGATGTGTGAAATAGAGTCCACAGCCTGGACATGGTGAAATGTTCTTTGCCCTTACCTCAGTATAAACTAGGCTGTGCTATATTAGTGTCAGCCTGCAAACCTCTTGCCTGGGGAGTACCTACAGTGTCCAGTTGTTGTTGTTGAAAACCGAGCCATAACTTTGCAGTGAATACACATCACCAGTTGCAGAAGCCTTGCATGGATGGCAAACCTTGCAAAGATTTTTGTTCCCTGAAATCAACAGGACAATGTAATATTGTGTGGGCATAGATGCTATTGCTTGATGGTTTGCTTCACTAATCTTATGAGCTGTCACAGCCCCTAAACTATCTGGCAATTTCATCAATACCACAATATTTAAAAAATTAGTCTTCTACTTATCTGCACAGAAATTTTGGTTGCTGAAGTTGGCAACTGAGCCTACCAGACCTGTTGAAACAGGATGGAAGAAACCAAGCTGTTTTCCCCACGAACAGATGTGGACTTTCTTCGTTCATCACTTAACTTGCAGCCCAGGGCTTGGAATAGATCAGCCCATTACTCTTACATTTCCATGATAAATGGTGGAAATGCAGTCAGTAGATAACATTGCTGTGTTGGTAGTAATGTGGAAAGCAAAACCTGAGGAGAGGGCATGCATAAAACATCAGTAGAAGTGCCCAGGATGAGACTCTCAGGGCAGAACTTGGGTAAGAAGCTGCGTGCAGGTGGTTTGAGGATTTGGGGAATCAAATTGTTCTCTGAATCTCACCTCAGTAACACCCATCCCTGCCCCACAAAGTCACCATGGTTGTTTGGGTGCAACTGAAAGCAAGTCTGGAGCTTTACCCTTTCATGGAGAGTTTTGCAAGCTCCAAGTTTCAGGGCCCCTTAGAGTGGGTAAGTAGCAGCTACACTGACATCAGTTGGCACTTCACAGCTAATCCGTACTTGCAACTCACTCAGTTTCATCCCTGAAGATATTATCAGTGATGGAAAATAGTGTACTGGGCAGGCTTGTTGATTAGTCAGTGGGTAGCTTAGTGGCAAGATGTTTTCAGTGGCTGCCCATGCATATAGCCATTGCATTCCAGATGATGCAGCGTGGATTGTAGCTTTCATATGGGAAATTTGGTTATATTTGTGAGATAGTCTTAATACCTATGTATTTCTACAGTTTGGGATGGTGTTCCTTCAAGTAGAGGAGTGTGAATGTGCAGTTTAGATAATAATTATTGTACTTCCAGTTGGTTAGGGCAGGTTAGGGCAAGTCTGCAGCTGATTACCAGTTGGTAGAAATAATTTTTGTAAATTAATTTTGGTTTATTTTGCTGCTCTGAAAAAATGAATTTGCAGCCTGTAGCAGCAGTTCCGTAGTAAAATTGCTGATTACACGTGCGATGTTAATTTTAAAGCTGAAAGTTTTAAGAGCATCCCTCTTCTATCCCATTTTGAATAGTGAACTTCTCAATTTATGCTTGGGGATTTTCATTTACATTTTAGGGATTGTTACACTGTTTAGTTAAAGGCAATCTCACCTTTTTCTGGCTTCCCTTGTTCTTTAACTATAGATTTGTTTTTGACATTTACATAGCCAGAACTTGGTTGTCCCTGTTAGGCAGGAACATTGCAGAAATGCTCTGCTTCAGTCCACCACCTTCT